TCCTCACTGTATCCAATTAAAAAAAATAACTTTGGCATTAGGGATACTTTTTGGCCTCTTTCACACGGGGCAGACTCCATTTGAATCAGCAGGGGATCCACTGGCGGCAAGACGGATGACAGGTTCATGTCTCCTCAGTCTATGCTGAGCGGACACGGACAGAGCCCGCTCATCTCTATGGGCAGTCAGGTGTAAACACTTGGCACCACACTGCCCTCCGATCCAATCTGTCTAGACAGAGGGGGACAGATCCCCTTTCGTTTTTTTTCAGCGAACAGGATTGGACTGCAGGTAGGCGGGTGTAAACGGACACAAGTCCGTTTACACCTGCCGGTCCATAGGATACAGGGACCATCCGATCTGGAAAAATTACAGCCAGACCTGATCGGATCGCCTGTGTGAATGGGGCCTAAACCTTGGATTTCAGATGTCGATGAGTCATGTAAATTATAATAGTTTACACAAAAATGGATCTGAATTACTGTGCATGCTACTGGTTAATTCACCCAGCAGTCTCATGTAAGTTTTTGAAATTCCCCACTTCCACCCAACACTGCCAATTGTCATAGGGTGAAGTTAGTTATCCATTCATTCACATAGTAAGAAGATCTGCTATACCACATCAGAGTAGGCTTCAGTCATGCGTATCCATTGTCCACCGGGCAGACGGGCCTGGTTCTCAAACGCCTCCTCTACAAAGCTCATGTGACCAGCGTCCGTGTCATACAACAACCTGTGGAGAGAGCCAAGATGTCACCATGATTGTGAAAGACACATACAATGTAGAGTGCTCAAAAAAATTAAAGAAACACTTTTTAATCAGAGTATAGCATCAAGCCAGTTAAACAGCTGGGATATTGATCTGGTAAGTTAAGTAGCAGAGGGGGTTGTTTGGTGTTAATGAAATTAACAACAGGTGCACTAGATGGGCAACAGTGAGACGACCCCCAAAACAGGAATGGTTTTACAGGTGGAGCCCACTGACATTTTTTTCCCTACTCATCTTTTCTGTCTGTTTTTCACTAGTTTTGCATTTGGCTAGAGTCAGTGTTACTACTGGTAGTATAAGGCGATACCTGGACCCTACAGAGGTTGCACAAGCAGTCCAACTCCTCCAGGATGGCACATCAATACATGCCATTGCCAAAAGGATTTCTGTGTCTCCCAGCACAGTCTCAAAATCATAGAGGAGATTCCAGGAGACAGGCAGTTACTCTAGGAGAGCTGGACAGGGCCGTAAATGGTTTTTAGCTCATCAGCAGGACCGGTATCTGCTCCTTTGTGCAAGGAGGAGCAAGATGAGCACTGCCAGAGCCCTACAAAATGACCTCCAGCAGGCCACTGGTGTGAATGTCTCTGACCAAACAACCAGAAACAGACTTCATGAGGGTGGCCTGGGGGCCCGACGTCCTCTAGCGGGCCCTGTGCTCACTGCCCGGCACCATAGAGCTCAATTTGCATTTGCCATTGAACACCAGAATTGGTAGGTCCACCACTGGCGCCCTGTGCTTTTCACAGATGAGAGCAGGTTCACCCTGAGCACATGTGACAGATGTGAAAGGGTCTGGAGAAGCCGTGGAGAATGTTATGCTGCCTGTAACATCATTCAGCATAACCGTTTTGGTGGTGGGTCAGTGAAGGTCTGGGGAGGCATATCCATGGAGGGGCTCACTGACCTCTACAGGCTAGACAATGGCACCCTGACTGCCATTAGGTATAGGGATGAAATCCTTGGACCACCTGTAAGACCCTACGCTGGTGCACTGGGTCCTGGGTTCCTCCTGGTGCCCTACAATGCCCAACCTCATGTGGTGAGAGTATGCAGGCAGTTCCTGGAGGATGAAGGAATTGATATTGAATGGCCCCCACACTCCCCTGACCTAAATCCAATAGAACACCTCTGGGATGTCATGTTTCGGTCCATCTGATGCTGCCAGGTTGCACCTCAGAATGGCCAGGAGCTCAGTGATGCCCTGGTCCAGCTCTGGGAGGAAATCCCCCAGGACACCATCCGTTGTCTCATTAGGAGCCTCCCCCGACGTTGTCAGGCATGCATACAAGCACGTGGGGGCCATACAAACTACTGAGTACTATTTTGAGTTGCTGCAATGAAATTTCAGCAAAATGGACTCGCCTGCTGCATCTTTTTTTCACTTTGATTTTCGGGGTGTCTTTGAATTCAGTTCTCTGTAGGTCGATCATTTTCATTTCCATCAAACGATGGGACATCCTTACGTTCCTATCACATTACCCCGTCCATATCAATATAGAGATCCAACAGGAGATTTTTCCCCTTTGAGATCTGATGGATTCTCAGAGTGTTCCTTTCATTTTTTTGAGCAGTGTATATACAGTATGAGCAGGGACCAAAGGGGTGATATGGGTATGTGCTTTATGGTCATTTTGTTAGAAGACTCAAGAGCACATAATATTGTTATTATTACTAATAATAATAACAATAAAATGAAAAATGTTATAAAAAATAAATAAAAAGAATATACTATTATTTACATTAATATTATCCACCTATAAAGAGCCCATCACCAACTTAAAAAAAGAAAAATCAAGTATTTTAAATGCTTACTTGCAGCATTTTATTTTTCTTAAATGATTTGTTTTAAATAACGTTCCAGCAAATGTGACTTCTTCATGAAGATTCAGTTCCTTAGCACAGTTCCCTCCCTCCCTGCACGACCTCTCTCCTTATGAGAATGTCTAATTAATTTCTATGCTGGTCCAGTTCCTCTTCCCTTTCCTTCACACTCCCTACATTTATGTAGTTGCCAGAAAAGTGTTACTTGAGTGACAGCTGTGAATCTTCTGGTGCTACCGACATTACAGCTAAGATGGCGGCACCCAGCAACAGTTTCAGGGATTTTAGATGTTTACAAAAGAGAGGCTTTTAAAGGTTAATAACATGCCTAAAATACTTTAAATGCATAAATCATCTTCTGGACAGTGTTTTTTAAATGAATAGCTTGGCAACAGGGTCTCTTTAGGATCCATGCTTGAACAAGGATTAAATAGGCAAACATGTGTGTTAGGGCCATTATGGAGGAAGATGAAGAGTGAGAAGGAGAAGAAGATTAACAAAATAAAAAAATAAAATAAAATAAAAAAGGAAAAAAAAAGAAGAAAAAAAAATAAAAAAGAATTAAGTACAGTATATTAGCATTCTTACCTTTTACCACTTAAGAACAGATTATAATAACTTAATTATAATAACATTGTTCTCTACACACAAAAGTGTTGGGTATTGTGACAGTATCAGAATGACTGCAGAGGTGGTGAGAAATGAGGGTAATGTTATAAGAGAGTTGGGTTGGAATGCTGTCCAGCCACGCTACATAAGATCATTCCAGCTGTACCAGACCAATTTTGGAGATGTGGAGAGCCAGGTGATACACATCTCCATCTATGGTGGTCTTACCCCAAAATAAAACCCTATTGGATGGCTATATTTCAGCTAAACTGTCTCATTACGGGTAAGGCGTGGCCAGAAATACTGGAAGTTGCTATTCTTTCCATGATTCCTTTTCAATGGGTTCTACAGGGTACTGGGTTTACCATGTCTGTCCTATGGCTTGCCCCTCCTAAGAATGGCATTGACTCTGGCAGAGAGCAAAATTCTAGACTATCCATCATATGTGCTTCAGGGGGTGCAGGCAGCATCTAAGCCGTTAGTGGAATATGAGCTGGAGGCATCTGTAGAGTGGGACTGTTACCCATGTGTCTAGAATCAGACATTTTGAACTGCAAGATGAAAAGCAATGTAGCTCAGGGTACAGGGCTAAGCTTCAAATATTCAAACCCAGCTGCTTAGGTTGCAGGTGTAGGGTCAAACTGCCAAACTGTAGGCGGGCAGCATGGACAAAGTGAAGAGTACCACATGTGTCTTCTGATCAGGAGAGGCAGCAGGATGGTGCTTCCTCAAAGCGGAATGGTGGGAAGAAATGTGGAGGAGCACACACTCAACACTCCACCCAGCAGATAATGTGATAATGTCAGCACTCAGTCCCTCAGCAGTAACCTTTTTGCAGGGAGATGCTGCCTGCATAGCCTACTCACAAAGTGAGTCTTCAGAGACAGGGTCATGCTGAGGCAGGTCTGAACCTGGAGAGCACTCCATAGCAGGGGCGGACTGACCATTTGGAAACTCGGGCACTGCCCGAGGGCCCGGGGTCAGTAGGGGGCCCCATGAGATGCCCCTGGTACCTATTTCATAGGCTTTTTTGAGTTTGGGCAAGGACACAGGGGCCCCATGATCCCCTATTGCCCGGGCCCCATGAGTTGTCAGTCCGCCCCTGCTCCATAGCCAACTTTTATCAGTACCCACAAGTCTGGAAGGTACCACACTGAAGAGCCCGGTGCTCAAAAGTCACTTTCCTGGCAAGCTCTGCAATATCCATCCAGCAGGGTCCAGATACTGCACTACAAAATCAGGCTTGGAAAAGCTGATCCGGATAGCTACATATAGCAGCAATGTGTTAGGAATCTTGTTTGAAGAAAAAAAGTAACTAAAAAAAGGTAAGCGCAGAGCAAAGAAAAGACGTCCATCCTCCTGAAACACTAGCAAAAAAAAATAACGCATATCTGGAGTAGGAGGGATTATATACCCGGACTGTCCCACAACTTTTTTGTTTGCCAGTGTCCAATCCTCTTGTAGGCAGCAGTATAACCCAACAGTTTCTAAATTCCTATGCCCCTCAATGAATGAGAAAACTAAAAAAATCATTATTATATGGAAGGATAGCAATTCATCAGATTAATTTGTGTGGATACTACCCAAGTGGGCACTGAGAAGGGGTAGAGCCAGAACTTGGGAACACAATGGCTTTTTTTAAAATTTATTTTAGAGGTGACATCCCCAAAAAGCTTGATGAGCTGAATAACAAAAAGCCCATTATCATTTCCTACTGGTAAACTCACGTCTTTTCTGGGCTGATGAACCAATCTCCAGCCCAGTTCCATCCAACTGAAGGCTTGAAAGTTTCCTTCGGTAATTTCATCTTCCCAGTTACGTCAGAGAACTTGGGGTAGGTAAGTCCTGTGGTCCCCCAGTTGCCTACAAGCGCCAGTTTGGTCTGGTTTTCATACTTGGAGAGAAGAAAAAGGCAGTGTACACAATTACTCAATAGTACAGTCTTCAGCCCATGAAGATTCCATATTTCAATGCTTTGCAACAATACAATGGTGCCAATCATGCAGAATGAAGAAGAATGGGGCTCTAGGCAAGGTATCCGTAGCTTATCAGATATCAGCTACCTATTAGTACAGTCTCCCTTGTGACGTGACAAGCAGGTGCGTATCCTTCACTTCTGTTCCCATATATGCAATTTCTGATGCGTTTTACAATGCACTGAATCACGTGACATGTGAAAAGTCATTGTTTTCTACTGTAGCAGTTCACGTATATGTGGTGCATCCACAGTGTAATTTTAAAAGGAGTTCTGTGCAAATTTTCAGTGCGGTGTGAGTGCAATTTCCAGCTTTATACATTTTAACAATTCGCATCAAAATCGCACCTGCATCACTTGAACAAATCGCACAGCATCTGGTCATCAAAATCGCACTGAAAACTGCATCACATATACACTGACAGGCCATTTTATTTGGTACACATAGTGCCAAGAAAATATCTCCCACACCATTACACCACCACCAGCCTGAACCATTGATACAAGGCAGGATGGATCCATGCTTTCATGTTGTTTATGCCAAATTCTGACCCTACCATCTGAATGTCGCAGCAACCAGTCTGCACATTCTCCTCTGACATCAACAAGGCATTTTCGTCCACACAACTGCCACTCACTGGATATTTTCTTTTTTGGACCTTTGTCTGTAAACCCTAGAGATGGTTGTGATTGAAAATCCCAGTAGATCAGCAGTTTTTGAAATACTCAAACCAGCCTGTCTGGCACCGACAACCATGCCACATTCAAAGTCACTTAAACACTTAAATCCCCTTTCTTCCCCATTCTGATGCTCGGTTTGAGCTTCAGCAAGTCGTTTTCACCACGTCTAGATGCCTAAATGCATTGAGTTGCTACCATGTGATTGGCTGATTAGCAATTTGTGTTACCAAGCAACTGAACAGGTGTGCCTAATAAAGTGGCTGGTGAGTGTGTGTGAACCCAGGCTAAATGGAATGTACTCTTGATTTGTGCAAGAGCACGAGGGTAATCCGGCCCACTGCACATCCAACGGACCTTAGGTTGGATCTGGCTCTGCTGCTAAATATTTCTGACTGGTAAATATGTGTTATATGAAGGAAGCTAAAGGAAATACAGTATACAATGAATTAGACCAGTGGTCTCCAAACTGTGGCCCTTTGCTTGCCTTTATCTGACCCTTGGTCACTATTACATCCATCCACTGACACCAACAGTGAGGCATAATTCCTGTCACTGACACCAATAATGGGGCACAATTCCTTCCATTGACAGCAACGATTGGACACACAATTCTTTCCATTGATACCAACGATGGGCCACTATTCCTTTCACAGACACCAGTAATGGGCACTGTAACGGAACCGGTACCCGACCGCACTTGGGTGTATTCCGTTATCCTGCAGCTTCCCCTGTCCGAACACCATCCACGGACCACACCCTTGAAATCCCTCAGGAAAAAGGCAGCACCGAGCTCTTCATAATACAGGAAGCCAACTACTTTTATTGTACACAAAACAGAGGGCGGGGAAAGACAACCAGGGACAGGAAACACATCATCAGCCCACCCTATCAGTGGGAAGGGCTACAGTATAGGCAGGAAACACCATCACCCCTCCCCATCCCACCAAGACACAGAACAATGGGATGCAACCATGTGGCAAAGGACATTGACCAACCCCCACACCAATACACAAACAGTACATCCCATAATAGTTGGCTGGACAGGAAGACACAGCACAATGGCGGGTAGCACATGGCAAACAGACAATGGACAACCATGTGACCGAGAACAAAGGAACACACACTATACACAAGACTCAGACATTCACATACACACCCTGTACCCCTTAAACAAGCACAGGGTGGGTTAAACATAATGATTTGGGGAGATGATACAGAGGTCCCCCCACCCCCAAAAGTCACTCCCGTCACAGGCATTATTCTTCTCACTGATACCAACAAAAGGGCACAATTCCTTCTACTGACACCAAGGATGGGGCACTATTCCTCCCGTGGACACCAAGGATGGGGCACTATTCCTCCAGCTGATACCAAGGATGGGGCACTATTCCTCCCCTTGACACCAAGGATGGGGCACTATTCCTCCCGCTGTTATCAAGGATGGGGCACTATTCCTCCCACTGACACCAAGGATGGAGCACTATTCCTCCCACTGACACCAAGGATGGGGCACTATTCCTCCCACTGACACCAATGATGGGGCACTATTCCTCCCACTGACATCAATGATGAGGCACTATTCCTTCCACTGATACAAATGATGGGGCACTATTCCTCCTACTGACACCAAGGATGGGGCACTATTCCTCCTACTGTCACCAAGAATGGGGCACTATTCCTCCCACTGACACCAATGATGGGGCACTATTCCTTCCACTGATACCAATGATGGGGCACTATTCCTCCCACTGATACCAATGATGGGGCACTATTCCTCCCACTGATACCAATGATGGGACACTATTCCTCCCACTGACACCAATGATGGGGCACTATTCCTCCCACTGATACCAATGATGGGGCACTATTCCTCCTACTGACACCAAGGATAGGGCACTATTCCTCCCACTGACACCAAAGATAAGGCTTTGTACACTCTCACTAGACGTGAGGCCAATTTCTACCCCCACTGACCACAGTCATACCCCCATAAAGTCTAAAGAACAGTAAACTTTCCCTTTGATTAAAAATGTTGAAGACCCCCGACCTAGACAAAAGGGACAGTCAACATTTATTCATATGACTTAAACATTTTTCCCCCAAAAAAAAAAAAAAAACCCTAATGGCCGATAGGCTACTGCCACACAGGTGATCTTCATGATGGCAAAACATCGGAAGTATCAGTGACGCTAAGAGACTGCATACCAGTGCTTCCTCACTAGCCGGTCCAGAAAGATGTCACTCCCTCAATGACCTGTCACCAGTAAGCAAGATTCAGCGGGATTTGGAACCAACGAAGGAGCTATTCCACAGAGGTAAGTGGAAGACTCTGCTGTGTGCCTCTGCTGTTTGCAACGTGTCACCCACCTGGTATCAGCCTTGAAGTGTGGCACAGATTTGGGGCTGAGGGAGGTTCATTTCCCAGAGAACTCTGTGTTTTATTGTGTTTTCAAGTTATTCAGAAAGAACCATCATTGTAACATATGGCTTCCTATGTATTATGTATTCCTATGTGGGCGCAGGACTTTCTGGGGTGGGCATTGTCTATGAAAAAATGATTAGCTCTTAGTCTGTATAAATTCAATGTGCTTCTTTAACAAAGCAGTTTCTTCTTGTTTACTCCAAAAATTGGTGTTGTCTAGTTCTTTGGGGTAGCTACAGCTATAACTACTTGCCTCGTGTTCCTGAGCTTGGGAAGCATCTTCCTGGTGGAGATACCCAGTCCGGGTGTCAAGAGTCCACCACAAAGTGAACTTACATTCACATCTTCTCCAGCAACATTTACAAGCTCCCTTACCATTAGTGACATCTTTTCCCCAGCTTCATCTGGGTTCAGGATCCATAAAAAACTACATGTCCCCGCTTCAGTCGATCCTGAATACGGCTGCCAGACTCATTCACCTTTCCAACCTCTCCGTTTCCACCACCCCCCTCTGAAAATCCCTCCACTGGCTTCCGATTGCGCAACGGATCAAATTCAAAATCCTAACACTGACGTACAAAGCTGTCCACCATACTGCCCCGAACTACATCACTGACCTAATATCCAAGTACCACCCAGCACGCACACTCCGCTCCTCACAAGACCTCCTTCTTTCCAGTTCCCTGGTCTCCTCCTCCCATGCCCGCCTCCAGGACTTCTCCAGGGTGTCATCCATCCTCTTGAACTCCCTGTCCCAACCCATCAGATTATCACCTACTCTCCTCTCCTTTAGGCTTCCCTGAAAACCCATCTCTTCAGGGAAGCCTACCCCACCCCCTGCTAACTTGCCAATCTCCTCCACTCTTCCTACCACTCCATCCCCCACAGCTATCTCCTCCTGTACCACCATCCCCTCCCTCCTAGATTGTAAGCTCAAAAGAGCAGGGCCCTCAATCCCCTCATGTTTTGCATTGTATTGGTATTGTTCTGTCACATGTTCTGTCCCCCTTTGTAATGTACAGCACTGAGTGAACTATTGGCGCTTTATAAATACTGAATAATAATAATGTCCAACACTACTCTGCCTCACAGTGTGACAACATTGCTGCTCCATTTCATTACAGAACAAACAGCCTTGTCACCCTGAGGATAAAAGGATCTACTGGCAGAATCCTCACATAATAAAGGGGAAATTGGAAAATGACTCGCCTCGTTCATCTCTGACACAATAATTGTTTTGCCCACAACTTATACTTACTGTTTCAGCAAACACAGAGAGCTTGCCCTGAGCTGACTGGTTAAATTCCTTCTGATCCACAGCCAGTCCAAACCACAGCTGAACTCGGACCTGCGCTGGCATCTTGGCTCCTTTATTACCCTCTTGTGGGTACTGAAAAACAAAGCAGATACATATAACAAAGTTTAATTGTGCCAACATTACATCCCTGTGTCCTTCAAACCCAACAATACATTGTTCTTTGTCAGTCCTCTGCAAACCAGTTCCAGCATCATGTTTATTGACTGGCAAGGGACACTCAAAGGCCCCTTGATTTGAGTCCTATAGGAAGAACTGTCATTTACATTCAAGCCCTGATGAAGGGGGATTGTTATCTCCCAAAATGTGTTTGCTACCTGTCTATCTTCTGTCACATTGTTATCTATAATAAATAAGGTTCCCTAAGACATCTGGCACTCCTGTTGTTGTTTTCACTAACTCATGGTGTCGGTTTTATACTTACAACAGCAGTACAGATACACTTTATTAAAAAGTTCACCTGAAATATATCAGCTTGGCACAAGAGGCATTTGGCTGGAATATTATTGGACTGGAAGATTATGCTAGTATGTGATCGTTAGTGCAGAAAAATAAAACTGAACACATTGTATCCATTCTTAGGCTAGTTTTGCATTGCTGCATGATTGGACTGTGCATGAAATTGCATGCTTTCTTGAAACGCAAATAAACTGCCATTTAGCAGACGCGAGGCAGTGCCATTAATTGTTAATAAAACGTGCTTGGTTTTCCGTGTCAAACCACATGGGTCTTTTTTTTTTCACATTTCTCAGTCATAGAGCAGCCCATTAAAACGAATAGGCTGCCCTACAGGCAACGCATGTAAATGTGTGCACACCCACAGTAGTGTGGACCAAGACTTAGGCTGCACACAACAGGTAAAGGAAATGTTTGAATCAGTTCTCCTTTCAAGCGGTAGTAAAGTCAGCTTCCCTGCAAGTCAAGGGCATAATGTGCTAGTATGCATCGTATACTAGAACATAATGAGAAACTTACAGTACCTTAAAATGAAGCCCTCCAATGGTGTACTGTCCCTGTTGACAGGACTTCCATCTTCACCCAGTCTTCCTTCTAGGTTCGTGATCTGACCATTTGAATGACTGGTCTACGATGACGTCACTTCCACGCATGCACACGGGAGCCACGATCATGGCACAGCTTTCTGCAGGGACGGCATACTCAGTATGCCGTCCTTTCGGAGCGCAGTGCACATGTGTCAGTGGTGTCACTGGATGCAGGAGATATTCTTTGTACATTCTGTACAGGTAAGCTTTATTATAACCTAGCACAGTTTACTCCCGCTTTAAGCTGAACAGAGAAGGAAACATACTTTGAGAAAGATGGTCTGGAGTTTCCCGCAGTTCTTGCCGCAACACTTGGGGCCCCTCTTGGAGAAAAGGACTTGTCGGGCTGGCATTCTGTAGTAAGCCACACGCTTGTCTCCTTGTAACATCCAAATCAGTATATCTGGCAGGCTGTTCTGAGGCTGTGAAACGAGAATTCAACAACAAATATTAGCATGCCCATCCAATACAAATATCACAGTATTGCTGAGAATTGGAAAACGATCGAAAGCAAACCATGGCATAGACAGGCATCATTAACGCTCTGTATTATCTGCCCAGAGAGGTGAAATGCAACACCTGAGGAGCTCTGGCCAAAGAGGGAAAAGTTGGAAAAGGCCACCAATGTCTTCAGATAAAACCTTGCTGTTGAAAGCACTTGTCAACCCATTCACAACGTCCTACCATAACCCAACTGTCTAAATATATTCATCTCAAACTTTCAGGTTTTTAGAGAAAATAATAATATATCATCTATTATATATACACTATGTTACCAAAAGTATTGGGACGCCTGCCTTTACACACACATGAACTTTTATGGCAGCCCAGTCTTAGTCTGTAGGGTTCAATATTGGGTTAGCCCACATTTTGCAGCTATTCTATGGGCCTCCAAGCAGAAGAAAGCAGACAAACAGACCTGAGCTTGCACCGCAGTACGCGGATGTCTCCCAGTCTTAGGCCGTAGGGTTCAATATTGAGTTGGCCCCGCCCTTTGCAGCTATAGCAGCTTCAACTCTTCTGGGAAGGCTGTCCACAAGGTTTAGGAGGGTGTCTATGGGAAAGTTTGACTATTCTTTCAGAAGCTCATTTGTGAGGTCAGGCACTGATGTCAGATGAGAAGGCCTGGCTCGCAGTCTCCACTCTAATTCTATCAGGTTGAGGTCAGGACTCTGTGCAGGTCAGTCAGGTTCCACCACCCCAAACCCACTCATCCATGTCTTTATGGACCTTACTTTGTTGCAGTCATGTTGGAACAGGAAGGGACCATCCCCAAACTGTTCCCACAAAGTTGGGAGCATGAAATTGTCCAAAATGTCTTGGTATGCTGACGTCATAAGAGTTCCCTTCACTGGAACTAAGGGGCCAAGGCCAACCCCTGAAAAGCAACCCCCACACCATAATCCCCCTCCAAACTTTACACTTGGCACAATGCAGGCAGGCAAGTACTGTTCTTCTGGTAACCGTCAAACCCAGACATGTCCATCGAATTTCCAGACAGAGAAGTGTGATTCGTTGCTACAGAGAACACATCTCCACTGCTCTAGAGTCTAGTGGTGGCGTGCTTTAAAAAATGGTATTCGACGCTTTGCATTGCACTTGGTGATGTAAGGCTTGGATGCAGCTGCTCGGCCATGGAAATCCATTCCATTAAGCTCTCTATGCACTGTTGTTTTGCTAAGCTGAAGGCCACACAAAGTTTGGAGGTCTTTAGCTATTGACTCTGCAGACAGTTGGTGACTTCTGTGCACTGTGCGCTGACTCCGCTCTACAACTTTACGTGGCCTACCACTTGGTGGCTGAGTTGCTGTTGTTCCCAGTTGCTTCTACTTTGTTATAATCCCACTAACAGTTAACCATGTCATATTTAGTAACAAGGAAATTTCACGGATGGTCTTACTGCACAGGTGGCAAACTATCACGGTACCACGCTTGAATTCACTGAGCTCCTGAGAGTGACCCATTCTTTCACAAATGTTTGTAGAAGCAGTCTGCATGCCTAGGGGCTTGATTGTATACACCTGAGGCCATGGAGGTGATTGGAACACCTGAATTCAATGATTTGGAGGGGTGTACCAGGTGCAATTAAACCATGGAAACATCTAATGTTTGTGTAGTATTATGTTCAGCAGACTGTGTTCTTCTATTGTTGTGACTCAGATGACGTTCAGAGCACATTTTATGCCCAATTCATGCAAAACCACATAATCCCAGGAGGTTCACATACTTTTTCTTGCAACTGTATGAACTGGGCTGGTCCTTGACATACAACATACTGTATATTGTGTGGAGTTTTTAACCAAGAATTTGATAACCATTTTGGAAAAAAAAGGGGTCCCATGCCATCTAGTGATTGTATTGTATTTAATTTACCGCTGGGTGAATCAACACATAATTTGGTGGAAAAAGAAGAGTTTCTTGGTCCTTTCACGGACTGCTATTTATGATACACTCACAATGACTGTTCACATACAATTGGGACTTGCACGTGTTGTTAATTTATGTTTTTGGTACTTATATTGTTTCTTGATTGACTATTACATTTAGTACATTGTGGACACTAGTACCTACCTCCATCACTTATCATTGATGCAAGTGTATCTATTTTTAATTTATTCTTTTTTTTTTTTTGGTACGCACATTTATTTATTTTGGGTGATTATTAGCATATTGTGCACACTAGCGCCCCCTTCCATCACTTATATTTAAATATTTTTGTTCTCAGAAAATAGATATTGCATATCTGGAAGAAACCCAAATATCTTCAGTCAACATCCATGGAGGTCTTGCAAACTCATCGTTAGGGCAATCTTTGGTTCTTAATTTGCAATTTCAACACCAGCATCCCAATCATTTGCATCGCTGGCAAAATCCCATGCCCTTAGAGGTGCATGGTGGGGATTCCACCCCTCGCCCTAAGATTATACCCACTTCCCTCATACTTACTCTAGCTATTCTAGAATCAACCATGTCTTTGTTCTCTCCTCTCTTTTCTCACCTGCCTCTCCTCAATCTGCATTTTGTCCACTCCTTGATTGAATCACGATCCTATTCTGGTCCGATGCAACTCAACTTGCTACAAAAACTACAATCTTTGCTTTGGTGCTTGAATGACTCCCTGCTTTTGTTTTCCCATATCCTGGAGGACACTGAATTGCATTCTGTCAAATACTTCCACACTCAGTGAGCACTCAGTTTTCTTCTATACCTTACTTTGGGAAGCCTACAAATCAGTTATTGGTGGGCACAATATACAACATGCGTCTCAGAGGAAAAAAGGAACACGTTCCGTATTGAACGCTTGGGAAAAGAGCTACTGTATATGAGGCCTCCAGCTCTTCAAGCATTTACCAATCACCCACAATAGACAGTTGAACATATGCACATGGATCTTAATTAATCCCTCACTGATGTAAAGGAAAGTCATTTGCGCAGAACATGCCAGCGGTTTGTTGGCAGGAGTAACAAAATCGGAGCTATGTTAGCTAAAAAACTGCGCTCCTTTGAACTTAGACAACCAATTTTCTTTCTCAAAATCAGTTCTCACTTGCGCATTTTCAATCCTGTACACATTTTGGGTGAATTCCATCACCATCCCTCCAAGTTATATGACATGTCAACCCCCTTGGCCAACATCTTTTGCTTTTAGGACAAGGCCTCTCTCCCTAAGGTTAAGGAATGCTATGCTAAATGTTGCGAGCTGACATATCTATGGAAGAAATTACTCAAATGATTCAGGAACTTAAGACCCAAAAACATGCGGGCCCAGATGATTTCTCAGCACTATTTTACTTAAAAAGAAATATCACCATTCCTTACAAAACTATCTAATCAGCCTAAAGGAGCTGGTCATCTTTCCCCTAATATGCTGAAAGCGCATATCATACTGTTACCCAAACCTGACAAGGATTTACCACGTACAATCCTGAGCAAATTGCGATCAGCTTACCCTATTAAATTGTAATATCAAAATACTGACTAGAATACTAGCAAAACAGCTGAACTCCTTTCGTAATACCCTCATCCAAAAGGACCAGGTCAGTTTTGCACCCCGTTTGCAAGCCTCTGATAACATCAGGCATACAATCCTCCCCAATCATTTGGCATACAAGCGCTCTCGAGCAATGATGCTGCAAGGCATTTGACACCCTGTTGTGGTCTTACGCGAAAGTGCTACTGCAGTACTGGGGGCTTGGGGAGCATGTCCTGCAATGAACAGCCACAGTTTATAGTCCCCCTCTGCATCCATTAAATACCACAGCTTTGAGACTGCAATCTTCACAAGACACGTGGCATGGTTGATCCCTGTCTCCTTTGCTATTCATTCTAGTCTTAGAGCCCCTACCAGCCCACATCCATCATAGTGTGGAGTTTAAAGGCCTAGAGATAGCCACTGTTCATCACAAGATTGTTTTATTTGTGGATGGCATCCTCTTATATGTCACCTCCCCACACACTACCCTCCCTAACCTGTAGACATTCTTTTTTCCCAGTTTGCAAACCTTCAGGACTTTGTGTGAATCCAACCAAGTTGGGAACATTGAATGTCACTCTCTCTTTGCCAACCCTACAGTACCTCCAAACTCATTTCTATTTCACGTGGTCCTCTACTCTGCTATACCTGGGAATTGTTCTCAAAACGACCTATGTGCTGAAAATACTTTATCTGTTCTGGGTATTATTGCTAATTTGAGTGCGCCCTCATATTCTGCACTTATTACAATCCCAGATCATTACATTTACTTGGGGCTCAGTTAGACCAAGGCTGAACAGACATACTCTATATGCACCTAAAATCCATGGAATCCTTGATGTCCAGAATGTAACCTATTACTACAAGTTGGCTCATAGACTACTTACATACCATATGAGACTGGCACATTGAATTAAGTCTTCTGCTTCCATGTAAACTGGCTGCAGAGTGGAGTTTGGAAAGTTAAAGGGCCATATACTATGGAAGTGGAAAACAACCCATACGATCTGCAGGATCTCCAGCTATAGTGGTGCGCGGTCTGAGTTCTACCCCAGGGTGAGGAAAGTGTTTTTAACCTGCTTCCATTCAGGTCACATCTAATAGTGAGCACACGTGTGAACGATGGTGGGAGTCACTGTCTATGGATTAAGACTGTTGACACGTATGGTGGAATTTGGTTGGAACTTACTACAAGGAACAATATTGTTTGAAGATCGTCACAATTTATGAACTGGGACTCTGCACAAAAGTATTAATTGTTTGTAGACATTTTTAATATATTTATTGATATATATTTATGTACATTCATTTATGGTTCACAGTTATGTCATTGCACTTTATTATTGATTAGGTAAGGCGCAACAAAAAATATATTTCATTTGTTATTTACAGTATTTGGGTTGTGGGAACACTGTAATTTGTTTGTGGCCACCTGTTATTGATATAAGC